TTGAAGCTTTGTACTTTTTTCACCTATTACGTCCAAGCTGATTACATTTTTTTTATTATAATTATATTGCGTTACTAGAACCTCGCACACTAACTCCCGAGTGTGCGATGCAAAATTAAAATGAGATACCTAGAAACCCGTTGCAGGTGCCCTGAAGTCGCTGACCCAAATTTTGAGGAATGTATTTGGAAAAGTATTTGGAGGGACACCAAATACACTTGGTTGTATTTGTATCTTGTACTTAAATGCTTTTTTGGAAATGTAATTAGATTTGTAATTAAATACATTTTTGACGAAGTATTTTGTATTTGTATTTTGATACATATTTGCATGTATTTTACCCATCCTTGTTTTTGATGCTTCTTGCATTTAGGTTAATAAGTTTAATGGCTGCATCAGGCTTTCGCTTTGACTGTCAGTTCTGAAAACCGCTGGTTCATTGGAACCCTCGTTCGCCTTTCAAAATCCCAGACATAAAGCGTGTTTTTTATTTCGAACTTATCGTACACTAGATTGACTTTATCGCGCCTCGTGCGGTTTTCGGCAACACTGTTCCACAACTTCTTACAAATACCGCGTACTTTTCTCTGAAAAATCCTTAGAGAAAGAGATTGTCGAGCCCTTCAGTTTTCGGCAGTTCTTAAAAATAAACGTTTTTTCGAAAAAATGGAAACGTTTCACTATAACAGGCCTTGGTCTATCAGCCGTTCGTTTACCAATATAGTGCAATCTTTCCGGACTTGTAATGGACACCCCGAGCTTTTCATCGAAAATGCCACTCACGATTTGACTCTGAAGGGGTTCTGCCGTCTCGTCGGCTGCATCGGCAACGCCGTAAACGATAATGTTGTTGCGTCGGCTCCGGTTTTCAAGATCATCAATTCTGTCCTCCATTTTTGCGACTAGGTTTTTGAGTAAGAATATCTTGTGCTGATGGATGGGAAACTGTTTTGCAGTCGTTTGCAAAACAAACATTTTCGCATCTTTGGCAGCCAACTTTTCGTTTAACTCCTGAACCTGATTCTCTGCATGTTTTTGGTTTTCTTTTATAGCTAATAGCTCCCTCGTCATCTGGGTCTTATTTTCAAGAACTTGCGCCAACATCTTTTGGACGGTCGGTCCGGGATTATGTTCCACGTCGCCACATAATTGCAATAAAAGGCAAACCATGTCTAACATTTCAACAATGCACTCAAGAAACGTTTTGGGGCATGCAGTCTGCATGCAGTCTGCGTCCAGGCGTTGCCATTTCTTTTTTGGGTATTCCCACGGATGTATGGGAACTTTGGGTGCCTCGTTGCTCACTTCCTGGCAGGGCCGACAACTTCGGACCATCGTTTCGATTTAATAATCCAAAAGCGGCCACCACACGTAGGTTCGTGCCAGTCCCTTCATCTTTGTCATTCCCGCATAACCTTGATGCAAATCGTTCAAGACTTGTTTTCGGTACCTCGAAGGTATGACGACGCGTGCTCCCCACATTGAGCCGTCAAGCTCCACGGTTAGTTCCTTTCTGCGACGGAAGTAAGGCTTGAGGTCATCGGAATTCACTTGTTCCAGCCATCCATCAACGGTGAATCTTAAAACGTTAGACAACATGCGCCCTTTCGTGTATCTGCTGATCTGCTTATGTGTCAGAGGGAGTGTTTGAAAATTTTCTAGATGGAGACATTTGATTTTGTCCAGTTTTGTAGTTTAGGATTTTGTAGCGAACTTGTCAGTCATTAGAGTCTCGACAGCGTGTCTGCGACTACATTCTTATCGGTTGAAACCCACTTTGTGCCGATGTCATACCCTGACAAGATGATTGCCCATCACTGCATTCTTGCTGCGACCGTGCCTGGGATTCCCTTACCGGGATTGGAAATCGATACCAGGGGTTTGTGGTCCGTCCACAGCCTGAAGTGGCCTCCAAACAAATAGTGGTGAAATTTCTTTACGCCTCCTTTGTCAATCGGAGAGCAGTTTCGCTCACTTTTGGAGCGCGTTCATGACATGAAGACGATCGGCCTTCGTTGCTTGTTGGGTAGTATGTGTTGAAGTACTGCACCCATGCTATGAGTCAATACGTCACAGTGCAGTTTCAGAGGAAGTGCAGCGTCATAGTGCACTAGCAGACTCTTGGTGAGTTGCTTCTTTGCTTCATTGAAGGCTTTTTGGCATAACCTCGACCATTTCCTCCTTTTATCTTTTCGCAACAGTTCATATAGCCGATGTAGGATGTCGGCGGTGTTGGTGAAGAACTTTACGTAGTAGTTCAGCAGTCCCAGAAATACTCCGAGTTCTTTTTGATCTTTTGGCGTCTTCGCTTGTAGGATCGCTTCCACCTTCTTAAAATTTGGGTGGATCCCTTGTTTGTCTACGAATTGTCCTAGGTACTCGATGGAGTCCTGCATGAAGCAGCAGTTTTTCTTTCCGAAGCGAACACCACTTTCTTTGAGTTTTTGCGGTACGATGTTCAGGTTCCGCAGGTGATGTTGATCGTTTTTGACAGTTACCACGATGTCATCCTGAAATGCACCTGTGCACTGCAAGTTCCCAACGAGCTCTTCGATGACGCGTTGGAAGATAGCTGATGCTGGGGTTATTCCAAATGGCACTCTGATCACCTGATAGAGCCCTTTGTGTGTATTGATCACAGTGCGGTCCCTTGATTATTCCGCTAAGGGGATCTGGAAGTAAGCTTGTTTGCAATCCAGCTTGGTGAACTTCTCTCCCCATTGGAAATCTTCAGAAAGATATCTTCAGTCTTCGGTAGTGGGTACCTATCTCGCTTGAAGGCTGGGTTGAGTGTGACCTTGCAATCCCGGCATATGCGCATTTGTCCCTTTGCCTTCGTCACTGGAACGATTGGAGTTTCCAGCTCACTCTTCATCCCAAGAGTGATTATGTGCTCTTTCTCAAGACGATCCAACTCCTCCTCGATCTTATGTCGGAGGGCGCATAAAACTGACCTTGGTCTTAGAAACTTTGGTTGAACATCATCATTCACGCAGAGTTTCACGGCGTAGTCCTTCAGTTCTCCCGGACCTTCAAAGATGGAACTCTGTTTCTGTCTCACACTTGCGAGAGTTAAGGTTTCTGCACACATGTTGTGCACTTCCTTTGAGTTCACTTCAAAATCCTGAAGCTATGCCCGTCCTAGTATGGGAGGTTCCCCATTCTTCACCACTTAGATTTCATGACGCTTGACTAGCCCGTTGTACCGTAACTCGATTTGAACCATTGCCTCTGGAACGATGGGCTTGCCAGTGTACGGCTTCAGCGTTATTCCCGAAGGTTTCAACTGGAGGTCTTGAAGAATTTCTTGAAACGTCCCCAGATTGATCCCAACCACGGGTGACCCTGTGTCAATCTCTGTCTGAAGAGATTTGCTGCAAATGTCCACAGTTACTTTGATGGGTTTTGGGTAGCTTGAGCCGATGAAATGAAAGAGAGTTTCGTCTCCCGAGTTCTGTGTAGTGACATGGTTGGTGGAGCTTGGCTTGTCCTTTCTTCTTTTGTCTTGTAGACTTCGTTTTTTGTCACGGCAGACCATTTAGACCTATCCTGTTCTTTCGCATATTTTACAAGTCGTGTTCCTTGCAAAGCAGTTTTCAGGGTCGTGATCGGCTTTGCCGCAACTGTGACATAGGAAATTTCGCTTGTGGGAAATCTCGCTTGTGCGAGATTTCCCTCTTCTCTCGTTTGCCTTTTTCGAAAGCGACGTCTTGTATTTCCGCCCTTGCGCCAAACGATTGCTATCGTGTTGGGTCTCGGTCTCGCTCCTTATTTCCTTCGCATCATTCATGGCTACCTCCATCGAAGTAGCAAGATCCACCGGTGCCTCGAATGTCAGCGTCTCTTCAGCCAGCAGCTTTTCGAGAAAGTTTCCGTCCTTAATGCCGTTAATGAGCTTGTGTAGAAGTCGGTCGTTAAGGGAAACATCAAAGTTGCATTGCAGTGAAAGCTGTTTGAGCGCAGCTACGTATTCTGCGATGGTTTCGGATTCCAGCAGCTTCCGGTGATGGAATTTGTAGCGTTCAACCGTTTTATTTGGCGTCGGGTCGATGTGGCTCTGCACTAGTTGAACGATCTGTACGTACGTCTTGGTGCTTGGTTTAGCAGGTGCCACCAAGTTCCGTATTAGTCCGTACATTTCTCGTCCGACGACAGAGAGAAGAACATCGGCTCACTTTGATTCCGGAATGTCGATTGCAGAGAAGAGCACTTAGATCCTTTTGACGTACGAAGACTACGATTCCGATTTCTGACCGAACTCTTCAATTTTCCCGATGCGAGGCATTCTCCAGGTTTAAGAATGGGCGTCACTCACGTAACCGCTGTCTCCTTTGTTTCGATGCCGCTTATTTGTTTACATCCGTCTTTATTGCATGGATCCCATCCTCGCCGCTATTGTGATGTACCGCTCTCCCCCTCCGGCGTCTCCGGTTATCATCAGCCCACCGTTGCCTGAGCCAAAGGTTGTGTTCGCTATCCGTGGCGAACACGCACACAATACACGGCAGTATGTACATTTCATCACGAAAATACTGCAATACTTTGGCTCTAGTAAAATGCAGCTCCAGAGTCACGCCGTAGATGCTGCCAGAGTGCCAGCGTGTTCTCTTGTCGCAAGAGGTCTCCATGCACTCGGTCGCAACCAGTCGAAGGTGAGTGAGCTAGCCTTAAATGTTATTTCTTTTCTGTGTGCTCCTGTGCAAAAACGTTTCTATCATTGTGAATTGACAGATTCACATCTCTATCTATGTTAATGTATTAATGCTTCTATCGATAGGAATACATTTATAGAAATAACAAAGAATGTGCAGGTGAACCGGTGAACTTTCGACATCTCAAGCAACCGAGACATCTTAGGGAATGAAAGTGGACACCACACACACAGGTTTGTTCTTAAATATTCTGTTTCAATGTTTCGGGTGTTCAATACCTAGCGAACACAATACTTGGGTACAAAGAACGTCAGGCAGACGTCTAGCAGATTAAAAAAAGAAACCCACCTCCGGTCCCAGGGCCCGTCGCAAGATGGCCTGCAGCAGGCAGTGTGGCGCAATCTCGACCATGATGGCATTTTTCGGCACGTGCTCCAGGGCCTCCCGAAAGAGGACGGGCGAGATCAGGTTGTTCACGTGGTAGGCCGCCGAGCACTTCCGGGCCAGCGGCTCCCCCCAGCGGCTCTGCGGCACCGACGAACTGATCCAGCGTTCCGTACGAGGGCGGGCCTCGGGGACCACCTAAGAGGGGGCGGACACCGTCAACTTCGAGGCGACGACCGCCCGCTTGCGGCGGTTCAAGCGGGCGCTCCGGGTGGCGGAACGGCGCATGGTCGAAAAGCGGGCAAGTCGGTTCGCTCCTTTTTTGTGGCAACAAACTCGATGGCACCGTCTATTCGATAGCCCCGGCACACCGCCGATTCGTGCATATTTCCTTAGTCTTAAGCGAAATTCTTTCGCCATCAGGGTGAATTCCATCTGCAAGTGCTCTAAGTGACCAGTTTGTCGAGACAAGGCATAAATTTCTTTCGTAAACACTGCAAATTGTTAATTTAGTTGAATACTGCGGAAGTGTTAGAGGGTCATTTGCACACCGGTGCCACCACGTTTCAACTCACGTGAGAAATAATGAATAGCCTGTTGCAGGTTAACCCCTTGACAGCCGAACTTTTTCACCGGTGCGCATCTTATGCTAGGGTTCTTTCTGCACGCTGGATGCAAATTTCAGTGCAAGTAACGTGGTAGAACGAAAATATATATGTAGAAAATGTGGACACGATCATCCTTTTTTTTTTTCTGTTCCCTCTGGGTTTTGATGTTTCTCTTCTACCCCACTCTCAGGTTAATTCAGCGCAGCGTTTCATAAAATCTACTCGCTTGTCAATTACACACTTATTTAGCGGAACGGCGTTAATTGATGACCTTGCGTCTCCAACCGAGGAATATTTTCTGGCGCTGTTTGTTCGAGACACTTTACGATGCAAAATGTTACCTCGACCTTGCAACTTGAGGGCACACTTTTTAATCGGCCACTCGGCGTTAAAGGGTAACTGCAAAAAAAAAAAAGGTTTTTTAAACAACCCAATTGGGACAAGCGTGTCACAAAATGTTTCCGTGAAAAAGAAATGGGCAACATTTACGCCACAGGATTAATTTAGTAGGAGTCACAACCATTTCCTATTTGAAACTCCCGCACTTTCACCCCGCGCGGAGGAGAAATACGCCCCGCCCCTCACTCTTGGATGTGCTCTTGGATTGACTTGGCTGAGGTGTTGAACGACGTATGCAGCGTCTCGACTTTCGGTGAGTTTTGTGCACTATCACTGCCACCACAGCCTTTTGCAGCTTCTGTGTTCTGTGGGAACTACGCGCAAAATGAACACTGAATTGAAGCGTCAGCTTCTTGGCCACTACGACGAACTGGGCCTTCGGCCATACGAAGATACGCCGCGGAGGACGACTGCCAGCAACGAAGACGGCGCACCGCCTGAGCCTCCCGAGCCTTCAGCGCGCTCGACAGGAAAAGCGACAGGACCGCCCCTGTCTCAGTTGAGGACGTTCGGTGCACCCAGTGCGAATCTCGAAGACCTCCGGAACGAAATGGTGAGAACATGCCTGGACACATTTGTCGCTACGCGAACGCCCAATCGCCTCAAACCAAATAGCATTCAGCTTGTCATCTTTTGGGGCGGCATGGCTACCGGAAGACTCGCTCTCGCGATCACTAATCTACCAGCACTTTACAGAGCAACGGCGCCGCTTTACAGAAGCTAACATCTCCAAAAAGTAAGCATTTGTATCCGCAAGTAAAAAGAAAGCACGCTCACAAAGCAAAGAGAACTCGCAACGAAAGCAAAGGGAACACCTGAAGAAAACGAAAGTAACTAATCGCGCTATGAAAGCCAAAACCCCGCGTCGCTTCCTATCACTAACACCTGCGGCAGCTGCTAAACACGCACTACTTCACTTCAGGAAGTCTCACTCAAGCACCTGGGTCAACAGGAGACAGGCGGGAGCACAGATAACAGCGGCCATTGAAAGAATAGCGAAGTTTTTGTTTGTTGTGGTATGAATCCAAACAAAAGTGACCGTCTTGTAAACCCTTTGTAAACGATAATAATAACTCATTACATGAGTTATTCTTTAAACGTAAAAATATGCTACTCAAAAGTAAATTACAACATATCACAAAGGCTTAACAACCAAGATCTAAGCTGTAAAACAATCTCTTAGCCAGTGAGAAGAGTTGCTATCGCACGTCACTCCATGACGTATAATACCAACTTTGTGGCGCGCGATGTAAAACGGACCAAATTGCCGCAAACTAAAATCAATCTCGCGCAATAAATATTGCTGTAAAATATTTTTTTTCGCGGAAACCTTTTTTTGTGACATGCTTGTCCCACTTAAACTGTCTAAAAAATCTTTTTTCTGATTTGCTGTTACCTTTTAAGAAGGAAGTTTTAGATCATTCAAAACCGCGAACCACAACTTCCTTATTTTCCCAATCGTCGGATTCAGAATTAATTCCTAATTTATAGATCTCTGTGTGTTTCTATGGAGCGCGGAGTCGAACGGAAAAGATTCGCCGTTCTGGGATAGCGAAGGAACAAACTGAAACGGAAGTTGCCTAGATTTCCACTTTCCAAAAAGTGGACATACCGCGAGACAAACAAATGAAACCAGGCAACCAGATGACACGGGTACGGCGGTGGGTGTGCGTTGGAGTGAGCACAGGAGAGCGGGCCCCACCTTTTCAAGGACCTCCTGCAGGGCCGGCCCAATGGGCTGCATGCAGCGGCTGTGGAAGGCCATGTTCAGGCTGTTCACCTCTCGGGCAAACACATTCTCCGCCTTGAGCTGTGCCACCAGCTCCGCCACCGCCTCGGCTGGGCCGGACACCGTCACGGAGTCCTCCGCGTTGTGGCAGGCTGGAATCACTCCGTTAGGGCAACGTTGCTTCGCCTGGTCCCAGGTCAGGCCTAGGGGATGCCGGATAAAGGTCCCTCCGGTTAGGGCAAGAGATCGCTGGCCATGCCCATTACGGCTTCGCAGAGATCACGATCATTGGTTGGTTGAGGATATACAATGTTTATTGACAACGTTGCCTGAACATCACAACTTCCGTTTGCAAGGCACAACAACGTCAGCACGGCATTCGGTAGTCGGGGGTAGCCCGCAATAGCCTACCGCCTATGGACCACGAAGTCAATACTAGTGTTAGGGCAGCTCACTTCTAGCGGCTACTACCGTTTAAATTCCTTCCAATTGCCAAAATGCCTCTTTTTCAGAGACGTTGCATTGCAATAGTGCAGTACGATCTTTTAGTCATTTTTGTGCAAACCATTTTACAGCAAGCCCGTTTTCACTGACATGGCGGTGCTCTCGTTAACATTGACAAAACAGCTCCCGAGTAATTTCCTATCGCCTTCACCGAATATCGCCGCCAGTCTGCTGTAGCTAAACGTTAAGGAATTGATGGCATCAGAAGGGCTCCGCTTTCGTGTGATTTTTTGGGTTCTTCAAAGTGGCTCGAGTGAATCTCTCACTGGAATTGCCTTGACATAATAACTTTCTTTTTTTTAAATATAAGTTGAAAGCTTCTGTTTTGCTGCTGTCGTGCACGTTTTCAGCAAGTTGAGTTAATGATTTGATTAAACTATTTTGCGAAGGATTAGAATTAAATAGACCGACACGAGAAAGATGACGCGAAATACACAAATCAATGCCATCAACTAGCCCCACTTAAGCACTGTTCAATTTTGAGCTTCACAATCCTAGGTCAACAAATGTAAAAATATTAAAATTCATTTTTCGAATTCGGAAAAACAATATAGATGCAACGTGCTTTTTATGCAGCGTGTTTGGGGTGCAAATATTGGGAAATATTGGGTTTTATCTAAAAACTAAGGTTGCTAAATATAGACAACATTCTCGGGGACGAACTGGATAAATATATGCATTTTTGTCTCGTTATTATGAACCACTCATTATGAACGCTTTTTGAGGGAACGGAGGCGTCCGTAGTAACTACTAACGAGCAGTGCTGCGCAAATATTCGAAATTTCTAATAGTAGTTTCAAATAATACACTATTCGACATTCGATTCGATATGAGCTGTGATATTAATACTTTTCGAAGTGTTGATCGCGGCGAGTTAACCTCCGTTGAGTGCGCTTCACACCGAGCAAAAGTGCACTGCAGGGAAGCAATACCCGTTGCATCTCCGCAGTGCACAGGTGCTCGGTGATATGCGCACTCCACGGGGCTATTTCGCCACGATTATGAGAGAGAAAATTATATGCAGCTATGTCTTGATAACCGAAGCTCCTCATTCGTGCCTGTTACAGCCAAGCTGTATATTACTCACAGGTCGCATTTATGGTATGCTATCGTTTCACCGTCCTAACGAGAAAAAAAAATTTCAGTGATGGAAGCGAAAAGTGCATATCACGCATACAACATAGACCACATCATTCGTTTCAATAGAGCAGAAGCACCAAACAAGCATCAGAACCAGATAATTGATGATAAGGCGCCCCTGACAACAGTGCGAAACACGTAGCGCTCACCGCATACGTTTCGCGGTAAACATTGATGTTGCCCAAGCTGCCGTGGCAACGGCAGCTTGTGAATGGGGAGTGACGTCACTAGCCACATATAAAAAGTTTTGGTGAGTGCATTTACTTTTATTGCGAAAGGATTATATGCACCAATACGCGAAAACCCGGCATCGTCGGCGGCGTGACTGAGCGATTGTTTCCGAAAATGGCCCCCGGCGAAAAGAGTGAAAACAGGTAAATAAATGCTCAGATTAACGTCGAATTTCTCATGCAGGTTCGCGTAAACAATGTAAATTAATAGCTTTGAAAAGAAAATTGTTTAAATTTTGGTCTGGCTGAGAATCGAACCCGGCCTTTCGGGGTGCGAGACGAGCTCGCTTCCCCGACGCCACGACGGCTCCAGGATTTTGGGCGATTAAAGGTGTGCCTCGTCTGTGTGTCATCGGGCACGTGACGGCGCAGACAATGGGGAGAGGGTGGCGCCACTTTATTAGTGTATACAATGAGCGCGCTGCCTCCCGCGCGACACACACCGAATCAGCAGAAAAACCTTTAATGCATGTCGAAAACATTAATCAAAAACCTTTCACCAAAGCGACTGTAATGCTTTCGAATTTCCGCACGTAAGAAGTCTTAAGTGTCGTTGCCGAAATTTTTTTTTTCTTTCGTGAATCATTTAGTATAGCCCTTTTGCTGTTTACGAACATGAACTGCCGCTTGCGTCCCAAGCGACGTCCGATCGAACCGCCTTTGCAAGCCTGTCGAGCTTGCTTGTCACAGTGCTTAGAAAGCATAAATTCTATACGAAAAACAAAGTTAGAGATTTAAAGAGTGCCTTCGGCTGTATAATATTACATGTTGAAGGAGGCAAGTTTGTTTACAAGTTCTATACTCGAAACATTTTAATAAATCTCGCACTCCTTCCTTCGTTTGGCGTTCACCTGGTAAATTGGTGGTTAAACGTTTCATCTACATTTCAAGCAGCGGTATTAAAGTCGGCTGTGTTTATTCTTTTTTATAAACGTAGAGTTTTCTGGGACGTCAAAGACTGAAGCACCAGCTGGTGGCGTTTGCCATAAAAAAAGTCTATAGTGCAGTGGCCAATCGTTTAATATCATAGCCTCGCTGTTCAACCACCTTCAAAGCGTGGGTTTGAGCCCCAAATGTTTTTGATATTTTTTGTTAAATTTTTTATTGAAGAAACACTATTTGGCAAGTAGAAGGCAGACTTACAAACCTCCTCGATTAGGATAGCTGCAACAATTGTGTTTTTTTTAAATATGTCACTATTCATAAATATAGCTATACTAATATTAACTAAGCTTAGTAGTGGACAAGTGGAAGGATGGAAACAACCCTCAAGGGTTCCCCTGATTTTTCGTTTAGGCATGGTGCACGGTAGTGAAAGGCTCGGAGAAACTATTCGACATTCTACCAGAAAATAATTGGCCAAAACCACTTTTTGCTTCAAATTCGCTTCGAACTCAAAATCCACTATTTGCACATTACTAACGAGATGTCAGTGTAATTAGACTTAAGGGAGTTTCCAGCAGCCTCGACGACACACATAGAGCCCATGTCCAGACTGGACAACCTGGAGACAACGACCCGCGCAGAGAAGACTGACCGACGGCAGCCATGGCCCCCTTGGGCATGTTGCCCAGCTCGATGCAGCGCCCGCTCCAGTAGGCGCACAGCACCGTCTGCTCGGCCGTGAAGCCCCCGTCGGCAAAGCCGCAGCCGATCTCGCCCAACGAGTGACCCACCATGCCGTCCGGTTTCACCCCCACAGTCTTCAGCATGGACACCAGCGCCACCTGCGGGGAAGCGCAACGTCACTTGTCCTGCCAACCACGCCCGAGAAGATGGAAAACAGACGCGTGCAGCTCAAAGAGGTAATCTATAATTATAGAGAGGGAAAGGTCCCACGTATTTCGGTCGCTTCGGAACTGAGGGGCACATGTACCGACATCGGTGGTTGCTGAGGGCCCATATCGCTGGCGATGCTTTAGTGTACACAAAGCGGCGACAAAACACAACTTGCAAGCTCTGTACTTAGCCTTCTAGCTTTATCTTGCACGAAAACACTGGCATCGGGTATTGCATAAGAATAAAGGGGTAGATATGACAGGCACTCTAACAAGTCGTCGTGGTGAAGCGAACACACTTAACCTACCGTCTCCTTCCTGTCTTCACATTTCCGTCACTCTCTTTCTATTTCTCTCGGGGCCACAGATGTCGGCGCTTAGTCATGTTCTGCTCCCGTCTTTACCCCCCTGGTGCAGCTGCACTCCGGCCAGGGGTGAATTTATAGGTCGGGCTCGGTGGCCTTTTGACGTGGCAGACGGATGTGACGTTACGGGCAAGGCGTTTCCCAGGTCTATCTGGTTCACCTCGAATTCGCCATTTTAAGAAAAAGAAAACACCTCTTCCCTAAAAAGTTGAAGTGTTTGTTTTTCAATAAAAAAAAAAAAAGTTGCCCTGGAGACACTTTTGTGTGTGGGGGGGGGGGGCGGATGGGGTGTTCATAATCTTTTTTTTTTTCGTAGATGTTGAAGTTTCAAATTAAATCCGGAAGCATGACAAAAAATGATGTTAGATGTTGTAAAACGGGACAATATGAGTGCAGTAGAGCTGTTCTTCGTAACATGTTACAAGACGTTTGGTGATGTGAAACGAGTGCTGATTATCAGCTCATGCCAGCAAGACAAAAAAGCATGCGTAAAACACTGGAACATGTGATGGGCTCCTTCAATTCACCTGCACTAGCCTGCGCCGGTCCAGGAAATTGTAAATTGAAAATCGAACGAAACCGACGTCACCCCACTGGAGAGTGGGGCAAAATGTGAATTATAAATTTAACATCACCTTTCTTTCCCATTTTCTCAATAGCCATTCCGAATTTAGAGGTATCCCTACCGAAAAATCCGGTATAACTCTTCGCTATCCGGATTATGGAACCGGAAATCTATCTGGATTCTATCTGGATTCTATCTGGAATTTAGGTTTTCAGAAATTTTTCCTTTCTTCTCAATCTGGATTTCGGGTTTCCAGTAACAAATTTCCGGTTCCATATTCCGGATAGGGAAAGTTATACCGGATTTTTCGATAGGGATTAAATAGCACACCAGAAAGAGTACAACCTGGGCTATCCGAAAGTGTGTTTTATTTTTGTCGCTATAAAAAAACCGCCCGAGCTCCCTTTCTAAACTTAGGCTCTCAACGTGACTCACCTGCACGGCGGCAATGGAGACAAGGGGCGACACCATCGTCTGGTTGTTGGCATCGTCCCTGGTGATCAGGTCTACGAGGTCAATGCCAAAGGGTGCTAGGAGCTCGTGGGAGCGCCGGATGGAGTTGGCAAACACGTCGAACTGCATCATCTGGCGGGCCATGCCATTCCACTGGCAGCCGATCCCCGTAAAGACAAACCACAGGGGCCGCTTCTCAGACGGGGCGCGCTGTAGCGTGGGAGAAAGGAGCAAAGGTCAGGACGCACACGTAACTCGGGTGCGGTAGTGGACAGAAAATAAATGGCAAACGACAACACAAAGTGTGCTACATGCGATTGGCACCGGTAGCTGCCGCGTTGAGGAAAAGCACGTTGAAGAAGATTGGCTTTCAGCCAGTGCGCTGTACCATATGGTTGCCATAGGTTCTTTGCTTTCAGTGGAAGTGATGTAGGAGACGTGTGTGAGGAGATGTATACTTTAATGGAAAGATTGTGCGAGATGTCGCATCTGTTGGAAGAAACGAAAACGTGCTTTTTCGGGGGCTGAAACGCTCTATAAGAACGGCGGCTCGCATGACTGCACATACGGTGGAAGAAGCGGCAGTATGCATGCAAACTATACCCTAGAGCCGCGGAGAGACGCGAGAACAGAACCTGGGCGGCGGCAGTGGGGACGCGAGGGAGCGTGTCCGGACAGAGCGACCTGGTGGGCATTTCGCTACATTAGCTGCCGGAGGGGTGGGGGAGGAAGAGAGGGCGCTGCGGGAGGGTATCTGGATGTAGCAGAACGATGGGGAGGTGAACAGCTCTCTTCCCATGATCGCGTGAATTTTCCGAAACAGCGGAGGCCTACCGGAGGGAAAGAAGGTGGGAGGGTGCAAGGAGGCTAGAGAGAGCATTGCCTTTTGTGAGGAACGATGAGGAGAGGGAGAGCAGTGCCTCTGCTATAGAGTGGGCTTTTGCGTTCATATATGAGCACTTTTTGCCAGGAAGGAGCACTAACAGCTACCACTGTAAAATAAAAGCCTCTGACGAGGCTCTTGCAGATGCGTTTCAAATGCCCCGTGGCATTCCGGCCACATGCCTAGTACATGCCACGCACATGCTCTTGCACAAGTCTTATACAGATCTTTCACGTGGCTTGCACATGCTCCGCAGAACACGCCTTGTGCACAGGCCTTCTGCAGAGGTTTCATGCGTGCCTCTATTTTTACAAAGACGCCACGTACGACGACCCAATTCCAAGGAAACATAATTGCAGCTCGAGATTGGGCTCTATTCGCAGACACTCGACTGGTACTGGAACACACATTCGGTGCTAGCCCCAATCTCGAGGAAAATGTAATATAAACGTACGTTGAAGAACGCCGCCCTCGATGCAATAGCACTGGGGCTGTGGCGCCTGGGCCACCGAGACTGGAGGAAGGCTGGTACCCACCTCGACCGCCTTGATGGGCTCGCGAGAGCCGTTCACGGCCACCACCGTGTAGCCGCGGAACCGGAACTGGTTGACGCTGGGCTGCCCCACCCGGTTGAGCAAAGCGTAGGCTGGGTCTGGCAGGGGTCCGTCCCCCTCCAGCCGGTCCAGGGTGGCCTGCGAGATCACAGGGGTCTGCCGTGAGCATTCTCATCCATTCAAGATTCCCAGGCACCATAGTTCACAAAAATATGAAAGGTTTCGGACATTACGGCCATCGGAATGACAGACGTGGACTTCCGCGGTCTCTATCGGGCCATATCACTGGCAACACCTTTATATACACAAGGAAGCAGCACAACGATGCTCCCAAGGTCTGCTCCTAGCTCTTTCCTAGATTTATTTTACGTAAAAACATTCTGCGATTTATAAAAATAAATGAAGCTGACGAGCGCTCGAATAACTTCAATCCATCGTGGCAAAACGAATAAACCAACCTATCGTACGCTTTCTTCGGAAGGAGGGAAAATACGCAGGCGAGCTGGTTAGGAAACATCATTAAAAAAAACGTGAGACTGAGACAAATAAAAAAACACTGACAGCACGACACAAAATCTGAAACGCAGCTCCGTTTATTCATATAAGGACGTCAATAAATAGCCGTTCACTCGAAAACAGAAAGAAAGGAAGAAGAAACAAACATTTCCCACGTAATGAGAAAGGTTCCCTTCCCTCTCTGGATGTACTGGTAACCAGAAGTGGCAGTCATCTAAGCCTCTCTGTTTGCATGAAGCCAACCCACACTGGCAGATACTTGGGTTTTGATTCCCGCCATACCCTGTGTCATAAAGCGTCGGTGGCTTCTGCGCTTTTCAGGCGCGCCTTCGCCACCAGTTTCGCAAAGAAGAGCCTCCAGGAGAAAATCAAGGTCGAAAAATCGAATTTACGCAAGAATGGCTACCCTCGACGGCTTATTCTTCGAATACTCGAGTACTCAAAGCATCCCAACGTAGGGCGCAGCATTCCCCACTCCGATCGTATCTGTGTTCCCTACATTAGCCGCACCAGCGAGGCCCTTTCCCGCTTCCTCGGTCGCTACAGGATGGCGGTGCCTTAAACGCCCGTGTCAACACTCGGTCATTGTCACCAGAGTGTCGAACCGAAATTTTTATCGGTTCGGTTCCGGTTTGGGTTCACGGCTTTCGGTTCGGTTCCGGTTCAGTTCCGGGGAGCAAAAAATAACGGTTCGAGCCGGTTTGAACCAGTTCGAACCGGTTTGAACCGCAAAATTGGGAATATATTTTTCGCGTTGTACTGGCAATATACATTATTTACGCCGTGAAACGATTAACTACATAGTTTCTTCGATCGTCCGTGCAATTTACTTTTGTTTTTAGGTACCAAAATATTAACATTATTTAATTACGACGCAAGAGTAGAAAAAAATCTGCATTAACATACACAACGTGTTCATACGACTCCACATCCCTTTGTTTACCAGTAACATATATTTTACCTGAATCAAAATGTTTAAGTACAAGAGTAAAGAGTTGAGCTGGTGTAAATAGATCAGCTACAATTTTAAAACTATACTGTACTTTATTATTCTTTCTTTGTGTTTAAGTAAAATTCTAAAGCTCAAGCTGATCTATTTACACGGTATAAAATGTTGTCGCAAAGTGTGGTAGGTCGCCTAGATACCCGTGATTGGTACAACTTTGTGTCGAACTTTGTGTCGCAGTGTTAAAAATGATATCGTGATTGTGTCCTTGAACTAAGGATTTGCATCACACAAAATTATGAAATAAGCACTTCGTGCTCATGCTAAATATGAAATAAGGTTCACGAAATACACTTCCCAATATATATGCATATGATGACGACACAACAGAGCTAAAAGCAATAAAATTTTCAGAATGTAACAATCCTTTCAGTCTATATTTTTATAGAAACACAGAGCGGCAATCCAAATGCCTGTTGTTCTAACCAAACATTGTTTACACTCAGCACCGCATGCATGCCACTAATCATGCAGCAAGAAGTAATCGCAATTGTTCACTCTAATCTATACGCACCTTAGCACTCAGATCGAATCTGGCCCAAAATAGCGCTTGCCCAAGTGAACATTTTCTTATGCAGAATAAGCTGGCATAGCCCGATTGTTGAGGTTTGTTCTTGACAAGATGCCGGTCAATTTAATTTGCAAATGAGCATCACCTCTGCTAACTGATGATTTTAACTCGATAGCGTTAAGGAGCTCATGTCGCAGAAAAGCCGATGTCGGTGGCGTCACTGGAAAATCCTGATTGGTCGATAGGTTCATGACGTCAGAGCTACATACCCTCGCGCAAGAATTTCAAGCAACCCACAATGCTCACGCGAAACGTGACATCACGCGTGGGATGAGAGTGATTAAAACAGGACATGTAATGCGAATCAAAGGTCACCGTATGTCTCGTACCCACGACCCTTTAGTTGCGAGTCAGACGCTTTTCACTAGGAACGGCGCGAGCGTCTGGCACGACGAAAACGTGCTTTTTGGTAAGAGCGTTTTTGCAAGCAAAGTAGTTTCCGGAGTCACGCTTTTTGGTCTGCACCAAAGATGCTGGGAAGAGGAACCTTTACAACACAGTATGTTTTTAAAACTCCCCCCTCCCCCCCCCCCCACACACACACACGCGCCCTTCTTTATACAGCGGAGCTGTTAAGGGTTAGTTTCACTAGTGTCGTGTCCGTCAGCAAACAAATGATGACACAAAACTCTGGACAGCTACCGCCATCTATAAATGACGACGGCAACCAGAGAACCGGCTTGCCGGTTGTCTGGTTGCCGCTGTCGCGTATAGATGGCGGCAACCTCTCCAGCCTTTCCACTCTGGCTTGCCGACTTGCGGCCGGCCATTACTTCATTCCCACCATAGTACAGCATCGCTGGTCTTCCTTCTTCACCAGAGTGGAAAGGCTGAAAGCATTCCTGAGGAATTGCCTCCTTCTTTGGTGTGTGTTCATTCGACAATTTTATTTGACACTTGTTAACCGCAACCCTTCATTCCTTTTATTTTGCACCCCGTGAAGTTTAGATGGGTCATAAAACGACTTCGGGTTGGAATGTTCATGACTTTACCGAGGCGTACTGGTCCTCTGGCCCAAGTATACGTGCACAGGCCGCATCTAACTGAGAAGCTTTTTTGTCGCGGTGCAATTGCGAGGTTTAAATGAGACTATTTCTTTTAGTCTTGCCTTCCCAAAGATTGATGTCGCAATCGTAGGATCAAAACCACTCGCCTGACGACAGTCGAGCGCGGCTCATGGATTGGACAGGAGGACTGCGTGAGCACCGTACATCGGCTCGTAACAATCATTGTCTCGGCAGACACTTGGGTAGAGGCTCGTGTCCAACCACTGCGGTGATGAGAGTAACCGAACTCTAACAATGCCTGGAGCTGAGCACGCGTTTTCTTCCTTTAAAACTCCAGCTCGGGGGTATTATTAACGTTGACGGCATAAGATAGGCACCAGGAAAGTGGCCGCTTCTGGCTCCGAGTTGAGGGGATGAACGATGCTCATATTTCTCGAATTTTTTGGCGACTGCCATTGCCTAGAAAAAATACCAAAGCCAAGTTCAAGCAGTTATTAACGTTAGGGAGTGATCCTGAGCAGTATTTAGTGATGTACAGAAATATTTTAAAGCTCCTTTAAGCAAAGCACAAAGGGAGTCGAAACTTAAGCAATAACTTGAGAACGACGCTCGTGTGAGACTTACAGCGACTGCCAACGTTTGGCTGCCTCTCTGAGGTCACTAAAATATCCTTTTTTTGTATTCCTTCCGTACACATGTGTAGTTCTATGTAACGTCATATCAATAAGTCGCATTAGGTAATTTCAGTGCTCCTATTCTCAGGGACATCTTTCGGATGCAGTTCAGCAAAAAACAATAATAAAAAATGGGTCTTGCAACATTTTTTTTGTACTTTCAATAAATACTGTTAAGAAATAACCCCTAACGTTGATAGCTTGCGGAAACAGCCATTAGTTTTCCCCTAATAGCAGATGTACCAAAAATAAAGGAAAGAGACAGCTGTCGATATCTCCTCAACTTGCAATTTAAACCAGCGGCCACGTGATCTGATACCGCCAGTGTTCATCACAGTCATCCTCTAGGCAGCTAGGGTTTGGAAAGCAAAAGCTTGGGCTGAGCTTCAGATATTTTTAGAGTAGGGCTATTATCATATTTATTTGACATGAGCCGTTACCCGAATGTTTGGCGGTGCTGATTGTCACGAACCCGAGCACTCGACGAGGGGTTATGAAAATCGCTTACGTCACGGTGTCATTTGACTCTCGGTGCGAAATCATGATGTTATGTCCCGTCATGCTGTCAACAATGTTAATACACCTAGTGACTTCCTCAAACGAAATCGAGTTGACGCAGTGAGTCTCGTGACGTCACGAGGTCACGTGACAACATGTATTGACACCATGACGTCACGTGACAACGTGACACATGGTTAATCATAGTGCCATGAAAACCCACAACTTACTATGCTTTTCAATTCTGTATATGACGTAGAAGGGCTAGTTGGTGATCCATGTTTGTGTGTTTTCACATACACATATATATGTGTGTTTTCTGAGAATAAACTTCAGTTGCAAGTAGCGCTCTGTGTGGTTTGTTTCTTTTACTCGTCCGTTGTTTTTAGCGCTTTTACCCTCACAAAACTGTATATGACGATTTGATCCATAGATAGAAATGCAGCCGCCAATTTTTTATTCCCATATGTTCATTTTGTGATACTAACAGAAAAGAAAAAAAATATTACCTTGAACCGTTTTGAACCGGTTACCGTTATATTTTTTTTCGGTTCGGTTCCGGTTCAGTTCCAAGATGGCGGCAAAAATTTTGGTTCGGTTCAGTTCCGGTTCGGCTAAAAATAACGGTTCTGTTCCGGTTTTCGGTTCGGTTCGGTTCCGGTTCGACACCCTGATTGTCACAGCCTCCCGAAGGATCGGCTCCCAAAAGAAAAGGCTATGGTTTGGTCTATCGTATCCCATGTAAAGATTGCCCGGCCTCATATACGTTGGCGAAAGTAAGAACTTCACAGAGAGGCTTACGCGAAACAATTACGTCTGGAAGAAGGATGTAGGGGCAAGCGTCCTAGCGCAACTCGCACAAGCAGCCGGTTGCACAGTTGACTTCGTGGGAAGCACCGTGCTGGCCTTGGAGAGAAATTAGCGAAAGCGACTCTTCGTTGAGTTTTGGCTTATCCAACGCACAAAAGCGAAAGAGAATCCTTCTTCGGGCTCCCTGCCCAGCAGCTAAGTGTCGGGACTGCGTGACGTCAGCAGAGCCTCATACATCCGTTTGTGCATTTAAGCCACGCGTGTTCTTTCCGCACTCACCCTTGAACACGGGACCGAACTGGTCTCGGAACATCGGGTGAATGTTTATTAAACTTTTGGTCACATATCCTATTTTTCGCTTACCGGAGCAAGACAGACAGACACGATCCCCACATAGACAGAATCGCCACCCAGAAACACTACCGGTTCCCAAAGACCTGGACGATAAGCTCCCTCGAGGCCGTGCGAGCCAGCCCACACATGAAATGAACCCTCCCCCCCCCCCCCCCCCCCCCCATCATCCTTCCCTCGCTTGCCTCAAACTCCAAGGTACCGAAACAACAACAAAAACGAGGCAACAGAAAACAATCGAAGCTAGAAAAAGCCTCTGACGCGTTCCCCCAGCAACAGAGACGGTTGACTCACCCAATTACCGTGGTCGCCTGCACTCAAGGTTTCTTTTATAATCATTTTTATACGTGTCTCTTTTTTAAAACAAATTGAGGTCTCTTCCTACAAATGGGAACACAAACTACATCACCAATGTGTAAAGCCAGTTCAGAATTTGGGCACTTATTTCTCACATATTTCTCATGTTCAAGCAGGTGGTCGTTTATGCAGCGGCATGTCTGGCCCACATAGCATAAACAACAATCAAAACAAATCTTGTACACAGTCTTCTTTTCTTTTGAAAACCAATCGACGGATCTATATGTTTGTTTGCACGTTCCTGTTTCCTGTACTGGCTAAATGGTGTAAGTTCGCAAGGGCGAAAATCTGCCTTGAAAGCAACCCGTACCTCGAATCATTCCGCCAAAGCATTTACGTTTTTTGAGAACCCATAGAAATATGAAATTTTGGCTACTTGTTTCCCAGAACCAATGTCAGACCTGCTGGATGTGTCCCTTATTAGCCTGCGCAATACTGACCCGATGAAGTCATGAGCGCAGCCCGCTGCGGTCAACCTCTCCACTTCTAATAGGTAATGCACTAAAAGAGGCGTGCACTCATTGTGTTGGGATCGCACTTGGAAGACAGCTGGAGCGGTTGAGAGCAGAGGGCTATGGTCATGACAACATTGGGTCAGTTGTGCGCAGGCTGAGGGGGAAAATCTAACAGGTCTGACACTGGTTCTTGAGTTCAAAAGTTTTTTTTTATAAAAACCAACATGGATTTCGACGAGGGTTGTCCACAGTAACGCAGTTGCTTGAAACGTTTCATGTTTTTTCGTGCTCGTCAAATGACAGAGGGCAAATCGACGCGACTTGTCTAGACTTACCAAAAGCATTCGATCGGGTATCTCATGAAGGACTTATAATAAAACTAACTAGTTACAGAGTTAATGATCACGTCACTCAGTGGATTAGCGCATATCTTAGAAATAGGATACAGTTTGTAGCTGATGGTGTTGCGCCAAGGGTCAGTTCTGGGACCAGTGTCATTTTTATGCTACGTCAACGATTTGGCGGAAACAGTAAGCTCCAATATTACACTTAGGTTATTCGCAGACGACTGCCTGCTCTACACTAAAGTTCGCATCCCTGTAGACCAAGAAAACTTAAACTTGTCGCTCGCCTCAGCAGATAATTTGTGTTAAAAATGGGGAATGAAACTGAACCCGGAAAAGACTGTATTTATCAGAATAACAAGCAAAAAAAACATTCTTACTTACAATTATAAAATGGAGATGTGTCTTTAACAGTAGCTGATCATTTAAAGTACTTAGGGGTAACGATAGCCTCAGATTTAAGATGGAAACTGCACGTAGACAGTTTGTATCGTAAGGCTATTAAAAAGTTGTGGTTCTTGAAGCGCAATCTAAGGCATGCTCCGTTTAATGTAAAATTAGCCGCATACACAACCCTGGTACGACCAACTCTGGAATACGCCTGTGCTGTGTAGGATCCGTATAGGAACAACCAAATTGATAAGTTAGAAAAAATACAAAGATTGGCAGCCCGCTTTATCTGTTCGAGGTATGGTCGAACTGACTCGGTGACTTCAATGCTCAAAGAACTAAGCCTCCCTTTATTGTCAAGTCGCAGAGAAATTGCCAGACTTAAACTTCTTTTAAAGCTCTCTCGAGACGAGCTGAACATCGACACCTCCCGTTACTTGCTACCACGCTCGACTCGGCCATTGTGGGGTGTGCATTACAAGGTCTTTGAAATACAACGGGTAAACAATGACATTTTTAAGTATTCGTTTTTTGTTGGAACTGTTAAACAACGGAACGATCTACCAGAAGATACTGTAAATATAGAAACTATTGTTGATTTTGAGGAAACGCTGGAGAAGCGAAGCTGTTTGGTGCTCTGAGTGTGTCTTTTAGTTACATTTCAAACATTTTCAGAAAGCGTGTCAAAACTTGTGTGCTTGTATCCGCGTGGTTGTACTGTATACTTTCTTATACATTGTGAAATGTATTGGTATGTCATTTTCTTCCACTCCTGTAACCGCTCTGAAAAAAGGGTGAACAGTATTAATAAATAATAAAATAAATAAAAAATAATTCCATGGGTTCTCGCCTAATTCAAATACTTTGGCGGGATGATTCGAGGTACGGGTTGTTTTCAAGGCAGATTTTCGGCCTGGAAAAATCACATTATTTAGCCAGGACAGGGAACAGGAGTGGGCAAAGAAGCATAGAGATCCGTCGATAGATTGTAGAAAGGAGGTTGTGTACAAAATTTCCTTGGATTGTGGTTCATGCTATGTGGGCCAGACATGCCTGCGTAAACGAGCGCCTGCTTGAGCATAAGAGAAATGTGAGAAATAAGTGTTCAAATTTAGAACTGGCTAAACACATTGGTGAATGTAGTTTGTGTTCCCACTTGAGAAAAGAGGTCTTAATTTTGTTCAAAGAAAGAGACACGTATAAAAGTTCAACCGTCTTTGGAGCTGGGGGAACGCGCCAGAGGCTTTCTCTTCCTTTGATTGTTTTGTCTTGCATTGTTGTTGTTGTTGTTTTTTCAGTACCTTGGGGGTTTGCGGCAAGCGAGAGAGGTGTGGGTGGGTGTGTGTGTGTGTGGGGGGGGGGGGGGGCGGGGGGGGGGGCTTATTTCATATGTTGGCTGGCTTGCGCGGCCTTGAGGAAACTTATCGCCCAGGCCCTTGGCAACCGGTGGTGTTTCCGGACGGCGGTGTGGTGATGGTGTCTGTCTGTCTTGCTCCGTGGGGAATGTTTCTTTCCTCCTTTCTTTCTTCGTGTTTTCGTCCGGGCAGATATTTATTGGCGATCTCCTGTGAATAATCTCAAATGCGTTTGAGAATGTGTCTTGACGTCCGTTTATATTTTCATGTGTCCCGGTCTCAGGTTTTCTTTCAATCTTATTTCTTAGTTTTTATTACACTCTCTTTCTTATTCTCTCTTGGGATTACCGATATCATCATTTATGTTTTGCCGTACTCTGTTTTTGTCTTTAGCCCCCCGGCCGAGGCGGCCCCCGTCAAGCGGAACACTAGCTCTTTCGCCGAAAACACTTTCTGGCAACGCCACTGCTTTCAACTTTTCCAGATTTCCCAGGTCGGTAGACATTTCGCGTCGCAGCCCAAGACGCCCAGAAATCTCTCCCCCGAAAAGAGAACTCCGGCAAACCTCACCGTGAGCGACTCCTGGGTCCTGCCTGCGAGCAGCACCAGGCGGGGCAGCTGGGGCTTCTCCCGGGGGAGGGAGTCCACGTGGGGGCCCGGGTTGGCCTCCAGGATGGTGTGCACGTTGGCGCCTCCGAGGCCGACGGAGTTGACCCCGACCAGGCCCCCCGGGAAGGGCGTGTGGCGGTCCACCACCCGAATGCTGCCGTCGTTCAGCGACGGGATGCCCGGGTTTGGCTCGTTGAAGTGCAGGTTGCCCGGGATGATGCCGGTCTCCATGGAAAGGATCACCTTGGCCAACGAGCAGATGCCTGCGAGGGGATGTCAGGGTCACCATCATGGCACCTATAACCACCCGCTAATACGTAACACTAACTAGCAAGACTCTTATTTATACCCGTTTATAACTGATGGAAGCGATGTATGTTTTCCGTCTCTCCCTCGTGAAGAATACCGCCACGACCGTAAAGCTCTGCTCCTAGAAATCTCCGCCCTTGCTTTGAAGGGGACAGAAGTTAAACTGCTCGTTTAAGAAAAAACAAAGTAGAACGCAGTATTCGCCTCGAGATCGAACTAAAGGTGGCGCTACTGCCGCGCTATCATCGTCAGCAATGTGTGGATAGGAAGATGGCTACCACATTGGCTATCTGCGGCCCCGACGGAGAACCTGCAGAATATCGCGTTTATTTCCTCGCACGGTATCATTGTGAAAGCAATTTTAACGAAAAAAGGTCCGTTACTGTTTAGTTCCCTAGTGCGATACCTAATGCACCGAGGTGGGTGTCAGTTCACCGACATCCAGCGGCCGGCGCGCTGGAGAAAGAGTGGCTTTCGAAGTTGAGATTACCGAAGGAGCCGTCAATTCACGCGATCCATGGTTTGCTCTAAACATTTCATTGCCGAAGACTTGAAACCAACGATGCATAACAACCGAGGAAAGTGGAAAAAGAAAACTGTTTTGCATAGGTGTCACGAGTGTCCCAAGGTAGAGTACGGGTAAAGTGTGCGTGTTGATCCTCGCTGCTGGGCAGTGTGATCGTCCTTACTGGGGGTTCTCCCGCTGCGGTGTTTTTGGAGAGGATGCGAATGCCACGAACATATTACTTCGTGAGAATCCGACTTTTGAAATGTTGTAGAGGTGTCACTCCTACGAGCCTATCTACACTATGATACGAGAAAAGAGACATCAGCTGCAGCGGAAGCGGTGTTGTGGGCATTACCGAAAAAAAGTAAAGTAACGAAATAAGCTACTTGTTACTTGCACATAAAAGTAACGCGTTACCAACCTACGTTACCTCAAAAGAAAAGTAACGCGTTACCGTTACCGACAAAAAGTAACACACGTTAATTTCGCGTAACCTTTTTTTTTTTTTAATTATGAATTAACACGTGTTACTGTTTTGACTGGACAGCTACACATAAGCGCCCTATTTCAAGAAATATTATGTCCATGAAGAAACTCGACATAATAACTTTATCTTCTTTTTACGATTTCAGCTGAATGATCGCAAGAAAAACGCAATAAAATGCAGACAACGCAAAAAATTCACACGACTTGGCGGATAAAGGCACAAACAAAATTTAAGTGTATTTTTTTTTAAGTTTTGCGAAGAAGAACCAACGAGTAACGTAAGTACGTTAACCGTCTTGAAAAAAGTAACGAATAGGTTACTACGTTAATGGTAGCACCGTTACTTGTAACGCGTTACCGCCAACACTGAGCGAAAGTGACTCGCTCAGTGCCTGCTTGTGCGTCGTACGCACCAGATCAATTTCCTTGAGGTTGGGTCGGAAGCACGCGGTAATAGGGCTGATGGCAACTGGTCAGTCTACCGAGGGAGCAACAGGGACTATCGAGCCTAATAAATTACTTGTTTACACTCCATTAATTTTGCTTACCCTCCGCGTGACAGAGGTTTCGTGCCACGTGGTTTGTAAAAACGAATTTTCGACAGAAAATCATGCTACATGAAAACGGCATGATTACATCTCGGCTTTTAAAACATTCAGTCGGTCGTTGACTTGGGGGAATGGATTGCCTTTGGTTTACCAGCCTGTGTTGAAACAAAAAATCAAGCGCCACAGCACCACATGCCAGAAACATAAAAGGTAACGCATCGCTTTAAGAGATTATATGATCAGTAATTACATTCACATGCAATGTGTTGTTGCTAGAGATAAGTTAGGTTAAGTTACGTAAAGTTAATGCCTCTGTGGTAATTGACGACATTAGTGTGTCAGAGGTGCTTGGGAGACGAGGAAGGAAATTACACAGTTCTAGTACCATTGCAAAAAGAAGTTTGAAGGGAGTGGGACTGGTTTTCCTTTTCTCGTGTTCCCCTTCCCTCAAACCGCTTGACCACATATATCTACCTCTAACGTTTCCGACGGTTGGAGTTACAAACAGTAGTTACCCGGCAGAGCAAGTGCACGAAAGTTCATCAATTGTGTCATTGTCCGTGAGTTTCACGTCCACAGTGTGGGGATCCCTGCTGAGAGCCGACGACCACAGCACGAAACTCCGCACGTGTACGCTCGTCGACTTGGTCATCGGGGCTTCAACGCTGCCCTGATTAATGTGCCCGGCATTCGCAAGTTGTTCGCCTTCGACACGGCACCGCTGTCCGCCGGCAATGTACTAGTATGCAATGGCACTGCAACTGAAACAAAACTGCATCACTACACCAACCACAATAGCAACATTATGTAAGTCTCCGGCCTCACATCCCTTGCCTTCGCGTGTGTCCACGATCATGGGACGATACAATCTTTTCGAAGAAACAAGCATTCACAACGTAAACAGCCCAGCTTAACCAAAAACAAGCCTTCATCGACGCGAGGATTCATACTTCAACGGGCGCCTTTTCGGGATCTCGGAGGCCAGACTCGTTATGCTTCCAACATCGGCCGCACGGTGGCTACTCTGTTCGATCTCGAGGCGAATAGTACTGAGTATTGTACTTCGAGCATAGAAAGATCACGTCCAAATGAGACGACAGCCCTTCCCCTCAGATGGTGCTTGCACTTGTAGTCCAGCGGGGTGTGTGGCAAGACACTACACTGTTTTCTCGTCTGCATTTTCTAGTAGCTGGTACGCGCTCCCGGCAAAGACCTACCTTCATGCCAAGGAAACAGAACTGGGACTATCGCCAACAGTCAACGAGAGCAAGCGGCGGTGGATGATGAGCGCAGTATGTCGGGGTGCCTGAGTCATCGCAGAACATCAATCTGCCCCAAGGAAAAAGTCACGGAATTATCGCACAGTGAAACCATACTTGCACTGTCAGATGTTAATAGTCGCATGAAACACGATTGGTTCAAGTGACGTTGTTGGCTACGGTACCTCCCCCTTGCGGTCAACAAAACCAAGCAGCAGTCTACGGCGGGGCGCAGTCCAGCGGGGTGTGGCGCAAGCCGTTTTCTAGTTTTCTCACCTGCATTTTCTAGGTAAGAATCTTTTCTGGTCAATCTTGCTTTCTTTCGTTTGCCGCCTCACTGGACTGCTCCCCTTTCCTGAATGCCTCTTGTTGAGTGTTTGAGCTGTTTGAAGTCAATTCCAGCAGATAGCCAAAGTCTGAAGTGTGTTGAATGTAATAATAGCTATCCTGTGGGGAAGTGTGCCGGGGTGACTAAGGCTCTGCTTAAAACCTTGACGAGAGAGGATTTAGGTACTTGGCAGTGTGCAACCTGTAAGATTCGGGAAGCTAGACAGACGACAAAGGCGGCTAGGAATTCCCAGGAGGCTAGTCGATTCAGCGTCGTGGGCGCAACTTCGGAAGAACCGAATGCTTCAGATTTATTGAAGCACATCCTTGCCATGAGCACAAAACTAACAGAAGTCTTAACCCGTATTAATAACATCAAAAACTCCATCGATGAGCAATCTGACAAACATTAGGCGGTAATTGTGAAGCTTACCAGTCCAGAAAAAACTGTGGAAGGCTTAGAACACTGGTTAGAAGTGATGGGAAAAGTGTACCACAAACTTCTGGAGAAGGTGAATGTCCAAGAAGCAGAGCTAAAGGAAATAAAAAATAAGACCACTGAGCTGAAAGGGACGATGTATAAGAAATACTTAGAAATCCAGGAGCTGAAGGCCGCAGTAGATGCGGCAGAGCAGTACTCAAGGAGAAAAAAATGTTTATATTCACGGGATCCGCAAAAAAGATAACGAGAACCTGATGGAAACTTTCCCGCAACTTTCTGCTAAACTGCAGCCACCTGCTCCGTCACATGACTGTATAGAAGCGGCACACAGATGAAGTCCAAGGGAAGGAAAAATCTCGCCCATGACTGTCCGCTTCAAAACGAGAGTGGTAAGAGACATCTGGATCTCCAAGAGAAGGGCTCTGGCAGAAAAAACGGGTATTTAATAATGAAAATTTAACTAAGTTACTTCGACAACTACTATAGAAAACGAAGTCGTGCGCCAAAGAGAAGGGCTACAAATTTGTGTGGATTACCAACGGAAAAATTGTGGTCCGGAAAGAAAATGCGGTTGCGATCAACGTGGAAAAGGAACAAGACTCCTCTAAAGCACGTTAATTATGGCTAAATCATTCCCATCATTTCAAGACTGGGACATCAACGCTCAGAGTGTGATAGAAGATGTAGAATGTTAGAATGGATCTTAACTTATTACATATAAATGTAAAAACTCTACGTAAAGGCTGCGACCGATTAAATGTCTACTCAAGCAACAAATTGACGCGTCTTAATATACTTATTTTGACAGAAATCAATATAGATATAACGCGGAAGGTTTGGTGGTGTGTGTATCGAATCATCAGGTGTTCTTTGTTATCTGTGCAATATATAGACCATCCGGTGCGAATATACATTCTTTTATCGATAAATTTGACGAGCTACTCAATAAATTCCATAACAACAAATATTTAATTATGCTGGTGACTTGAACATAGATATTATGAATGCAGCCAGGTAGGTGTGTCTGAGTACCTGAATCTACTGGCAGGCTACGGGTTAGAACATGTAATTAATGATTACACTAAGAAAGAATGTTTAGGAACGCGCCTAGCGCGATCCTGCAGCGATCTTAAGTCAATTTCAGGGGTGATTAAGCAAAACGTTTCAGACCACTATTTTCTAGCTCTGACCATATTGGGAGTAAATTCTACATAATAACAGAATTGACAAAATGATAAGAGCATATAATTGGGGTTACTATTGGACTACGACCATATTACTGTTTATCAAAGGTTCAGAGACAAAATGAGGCCCATTTTTGAACTGTGTTGGAAAACAATGAAACTGAAACAAAGAAAACCAGAAAATGTATGGATAAATGATG